AGGGTTATGGGGATATATGTATACGTATAGCTGATTTAATTTGTTATACAGCAGAAAGTAATGTAGTATTGTAAAGCAGTTATACTCCCATAAAGATGTTTAAAAGAAAAAAAAGAAATGATACTGAGTTTGCTGCTAGTCTTGTTAGTTTTGATATTAGTTATTTTATGTGATAATTGCCACTTCAGGCACGCTGTTCCATTTTAGATACCGCTAAAATCACTAGAAACTTCTTTCTCTTGAGCTTAAACAGGCCAGCAGTGAGTGATAAAAAGATTTTGGAAATGGTTTACCAGCTTGAAAATTATTCTAAGAGTCCAGAGATAGTAAGAACCCAAACTGGGCCTTTAAGTGTTACTTAGTAGTAGAGGCAAGACAAGTGCAAGAGGTATCACTCAGGGAAATATAACTGGACTTGAAAACTGATTGGACACAGGGAGAAGGAATGTGAAGACAACAGGAATAGGAACAGATTTGGAAAAAAAGAGTAGATTTTAAAGTAGTTACGAAGTTTACAGATGATTAAATCATTGGATTTGACCATGATGTTTTACTGTACTAACAGGTCAGACACCAGACTGCAAAGAGATTTAGACATTATGAGTGGTAAGAAAACAGAAGAAAATAGATTAATTTTGAGAAATCTTGTGTTAAAAGGTAATGGCAGGAATAAGAAGTATTAGTTTTAGTTTTGCTTTGATATAGTGGAAAATAGTTCAACAACTTTTTGACTCAGAGGAAGGTCCTTGAAGAATCAAGAGAAAGGATGCAGAGTAGGTGGAATAAGAAAATGGAATAAAATTACCAAGACACTTATTTTTTAGAAGAAGGGAGAACCCTGGAATTGGAGAGGGGCAAGGAGAGAGTGAAGGGGGAGAGAGAGACTTTGAGAGGAAGGGAGTGAGGGCAGATTTTATATCAGCAGTCACAGTCTCAGCAAGGCAAGAAGCAAGGATATTGACAACGGGGGGCGTCAGGAAGTGTCCTTTGATGTGAAGAGAGCAAAAAAAATGTGTGATGTGTGGAATAGATGTTCTAGGAAATATAGTAATTAATCACATAGAAATAAAAGAATTGCTGAAAAAAGTATAGAAAGTCCCACAGCTGGCCAACCATGTGCATCAGTCCAGGCTAGTTTGTGAAAGGACTAAATTTATTGACACTATTCAATTTCTCCACTTGGCAGAATTCAATGCCATTTACATCATAAATTTTATTTATGGGATTTCTGCCTCTAGGGTTGCTAGCCTGTGTTATGCCTCTGTATTTTATTAGAATTGAATGTCTAATTTGTAGCTAGAATAAAATTTTAGAAACAGAAAGGATTCAAAGATTGTCTAATCCAACCCCTCTTTTTCAAAGTAGAAATTTGATATATAAGTGGGCAAAGAGACCCTCCTGAGGGCATGCTACTAGTTTGCAGCTGGCAGATATCCACGCCAAGCCACTATCTGCCTTCTCCATTACATTTGGAGGAGCTATGGTATTTTTTAAGTTATAATAACGATTATTGTCAGTTTGAGACTCTTGGGATCTGATCCAAGCACAGAATATCACCAGTTGAACCAAACACTGCCCTCAACAGTTGCTTACCACTTAATTAGGATGTGAGATATCCTTGTTTCTAAAATCCAAATTGCTAGTCAGGCTTTGCAGAGGTCTGCTCTGATGACATTCACTGGCTGTTACCTCCGTCTTTAGTAGACTTGTTGCCTCTCTATGCACTTGTGTCCAAATTTAATTAACCACAGAAAAAAAGTGCAATCAACATTTGATCCTGGATGTCCTCAGACAATATTGGGAAGTCTGTGATTATGTGAAAGCCTTAAGTAATGCTAAAAGAACTTCTGATTCCTTTTACTTCTCTTCCATTCTGGGTCATTTTACCTTGTTTTTGCATCTCCTTTTGCTGAGCCCTGCAGTAGATAGTCCAATGCAACACAGAAGGTATTAGCTTATGAGTCAGAAAACAGCCATTTGCCTGGTTCTGTCACTGATTCTCAGGCTTTAGGCACTTCTTGGCCTCTCTCTTCTATAATAATTCTTGCTGTGCTCATTTCAGAATTTATTGTGTGGATACATGGAAATACATTTAAAAATCCTAAGCCCTCTGCAAATGTACCATGTAGACATTTATTGAACTCTCCTTCCATTTGCATTGATTCTATAAGAATGCTGAGGTTTGGTAAATGAACTCTTATGCAACAACATATTGCAAAATATAATTGTAGACCTAATGGCTTAAATCAGAATATTTTGGTGATCGAGTCATTGGCCATTTAGAGCAACTATAATTTTAGAATGACCCTATGAGCACCTAAGTATCCATTCTGTTTGTTCCACAACATATATGGAGTACATACTCTGTGCTAGGTTGTACAGTATTATCATCATAAGGCCTATATTTTGCTTTAAAATCAAGAAAATAGACTTCACCACTTTATAGCTAAGTAGCCTCGTTTACTGTCTCTTTTAAAAATTTAGAACTTGCCTATATTATACAAGTATCAATTAAGCCAATGTTGGTGAGGGTAACCTAACCGAAGCCGAGGAGAAGGCCTAGCTGCCTGTACTTTTATTTTTCCTGACCAAGTTGGTACAAGAGAGGTTAGTTAGAAAGCTTTGTGATCAAAATAGAAAAAAATTTACAGGCTAGATTTTTTTCAACAAAGTCTTAGAACATGTCTGTCTCATTCCTAGGAAGAGGATATAAAATCAAACTTCCTGGGAATCCTGGAATCTGGCCTCTGGTAGTTCTGTTAGCATTGCCCCACACCCCTACCAGATCATGCAAGCAGTTCAGGACTTCAGAAATGTATCCAAACTAGAGGCACATAACTCTGGAGGCCCATCTGGTCTGATTTTAGTTTCTCTGCACTTCCCTGAAGTCCTGTAATAGCCAGGGCACGGGAAAAACGACAGAAATTCTGTTCGACGTACTTGTCAACAAATGTGTTTCATAAACTACTGTTGATGGTTCAACTCACGGGACACAGAGCATTCGTATTCTGTAACATTTGTTCCCAGTAGCAGTTAGTGTTCTGGCTGGAACAGCCTCCTTCACTCGTTCTGTTTTTCGTGACTTTGGAATGGAGTATGGAGCCCAGAGAGCTGCTTTTACGAGGAAGACGCAAGCTAATGAATGATTTCGAACATTTCAGTAATTTGTGACTAGTAAGAAAGTAGGCTGAATGTACGAATACATCCCTTTTCTGTACTTAAGAAACTATAACCCCCTTGCTGACTTCATGGGCGTGCAACCAGTACGGTCACACAGGTTCCCCACTTAGAAGGGCCCATGCTTGGTTTAATGCTCTGTTGTCAGCGTCTTAAAAGTCTTAATCATTTTTGAATAAGGGGCTCCATGTTTTCATTTTGCTGTGAACTCCACAAATTGTGTAGCCAGTCCTGGCCCTTGTTTCCAAAGATTCTGGGTGGTTTTTTTTTGTATCAAGAGCTTGTGCCTGGCACTTAAAGAGGACACGATAAACATTTTTAGCATGAGTAAATGAGGGATTTTAGGGCTCTAAATAAAAGCAATTGACCTGAGTCTTAGGGTGAGGAGTGGGGGAGAGGTACTAAATTTTTGAGAGAAAATTTAGAATGTAAAAAAAGAGTCTAAAATAGTATAACAAGCATGTATGTTTCCATTGTTAGTACATGACAATTATTATTTTATTTTATTCTATTTACTTAAAATGTTTATTTAAGAATAAAAAGCAAATAAAGTTTATCAGTTGGCCCCATCTCTAGTCTCATGTATTTCCCTACTTGCTCACTGGGAGCCAAAGCACTACCATAAATGTTGTATCCTTCCAGTATTTCTTGTCCCTTTACACTGCCAGGAATGATATACGGTAACATATTTTGTGTGAGTGTTTTAATCTTTGTGCAAATGGTGTGAAACTACATGCATCATTTTGCTATTTTCATTCAATATTTTGTTTGTAAAATTTAGCCGTATTGATACACGTAGCCCTAGTTCATTCATTCTCATTGCTGTATCCAGTAGCAATGCAATTTCCTTTCCTGACCTGCTTCCCCACTTTGTGAGACTGTTTAGAGCAGAGCCAGAGGAGTTTTTCCTGCTTTTCTGGTTCTGCCACTAGTAAAAATCACTAGCTGGATGACATTGGGCGAGTTAAGAGATCTTTCTGAAACATGGTTTTCACATTTGTAAAGTAGGATTAATGATTTCTACCACTTAAGATGTTTTTGTGACAATTAAATGAGATAATATATATAAAACCTACCATGTGTTAAAGATAATATATATAAACCTACCATGAGATAATATATATAAAACCTACCATGTGCAAAAAAAATAGTGAGGATTATTAGTACCTTGTGATATATATGTCTGAATATTATGAAGCCCTAAGCAAATATGTAACAGTGATCTTGCATTTGCATTGTTCGATTTTTCTCATTGTACTCTCAGCCTGACTATTGGTGTTGATGCTTTTTTTAATAGTAAGAAAATTTCACCCTTGAAATAAAGTCCTGGATGCATTAGAGTGCATCAGGTTCCTCTCTTACAAAATTGAACGGTATTACCTCTAATGTGCCTTCTATGGTGTTAAACGATATTACCTCTAATGTACCTTCCATGGGCTTAAACCCATACAGTTATGAAATTATAATATTAAATATTTATAAAAATATGCCTATGTTCTTCTCTATGCATAATTAGAAAAAAAATGAATGTCTAGTGTTTTCCAACTTTCAATTTGGAAAGTATCAGATAATAGAATTGAGAGATCTGGAATTCTGTTAGACCATGACTGTGCTGTTACCTAGTCCCCTAACTTGCAATTAGAAATTAAAAACTTAAGCACGCACGGAGAAACTGTTTTTATGTTCTCTGAAAATTAAAAAAAATCTAAACAGAAGCCAATGTGAAATCTTGAGAGTAGGTGGGAGTCTATGGTGTATTAAGAAACTGGAAGTACATTCTGAATCTCCCTGTGGTTTTATAGCATATTTTGGTTATTCAACAGATTTTATACAATTCGCTATAGAGAAAAGGATAAGGAAAAGAAATGGATTTTTCAACTCTGTCCGGCCACTGAAACAATTGTGGAAAATCTAAAGCCTGACACAGTTTATGAATTCGGAGTGAAAGACAATGTAGAAGGTGGAATTTGGAGTAAGATTTTTAATCACAAGACTATTGTTGGAAGTAAGTACCTAGAACTATTTAAGTGAGCTTTCTGTAATATTTTTTCCTAATTATCAAATTTTAAATTATTTTATTAGTTGTATAATAGGAAATGAGTTAATTCTCATTATCCATATTTATGAAAATACAAAAGTAAACAGAATTTGAGCATTGATATTTCAGAATCTTTTTTATAGTGAGTGTTTTTTTAAAAAAATGGTAAACTAATATTAGACAGTAGCAATCGTTGATAACAATTTAGTTGGCCATTGTCATATTTTAAATCAATCTCTGACCTATGAACACTAACTGAGCCAAAAATCGATAACATGTACAAATGCTAAGTTAAAAAGCTGGGTCAGTGGAATTGAACGTGCAAAGACTTTATGGGGCTGGGCTTGCTTCCTATCATCCCTTGTTTCGAACATCATTGGAATCAGTGTTTGAAATGAGAGCAAATAAAATAATATGCCCAAGTTAGAGCAGAACTTGTAGTTGTCTTCATAATGACTAGTAAGAATTGATTTAGGGAAAAGAAGAATGAAAAGAATGTCATTTTCCTCTTGTTTTTGTCAGGTAAAAACAAAGTAAATGGGAAAATCCAAAGTACCTATGACCAAGTCCACACAGTGGTATGTACCAGCTTATTTTCAAGAATGTTCTTTTAAAAATGTGTCTGCATTATACTTTCATTTAAATAAGGGAGTAGTCCTATTACGAGGTACTGAAGCTGGATTAACTGCCTAGCTATAGGGTTTTGGGTCAAGTACATAATGTTTTAGGAATTAGTTTCTTTCTCAGAAAATGGAGGTGGAAGCATGAAACCAGATTATCTCTAATTTGTTTAAAGCTCTAAAATTCTGATATTCTGTATAGTTATCTAGTATTTCAGTATTCCAGGTATTTTGAGATTATTCTTATTATCTTCTGTCCTGTGGGTTGTTTTTTACTATAACATGTTTCAAGAGTGAATAAGTACATGCACTACTTAACCCTGCGATTGTTCAAATCTTTCCTCTATTTTCTATCATTTCCTACTTAAAAGAGCCAACCCTTTTCAAAATGATGAAGCAACTGGTTTGGTTTTGTAACATGCCCAGCTTCTATTCAGTGCAGTAAATGTTTGTATATTTTATGGGCCCAGCATTTTCCCCGTCTAGAACTCTTTTCTCTCTCACCTTAGGAGCTCAGTCCCTTGTTCTCCTCTTTCCCTCCACTTTTCAAAATCTGTTCTCAGGAAGCATTATATCAGTTCCATACTACCTGTTATAAATGTAAGCCATTGTTAGAACCATCACAAAGACACTTGCCATTGAAATCACATGCCTAATTATAAAGTAAAGAACATTACGTCATAGAGCAGGTAGAGAAGGCACTTTGGTGAGAAGAGGGGAATTTGATGCTGGCTTTGGTCTATGTATTGGGAGTATCCAGCCAGGGAAATATTCTACAGTCAAGTGAACATGCAAAGACTCTATTCAGGGTTGCAAATTTGTTCTTTTCAATGTGTGCATGATGTATGTGGATAGATGGTTTTTTATGTCTATTGAATAGTCCACAGAATAACCCACTGTTCATGTAGCCCAGTGGGGGGAAAATGGTAGTACATACCTCAGTGAATAAAAATATGCAAGATTCTTTTCATTGACAGAAAATGGGTTTGGATAAAATAGAACTGAGAATTACTGCTGATAAAGGAAATGTTTCTTTGGTTTGAACTGGCAGAAAAGTGTGTATATTGGAAAATTATTGTCATGATTATTAAATTATTGTGACTGCCCAGGAAAGTATTTTGGTATATTTAAAATCAAAATATAAGAAAGGAGATTGTAGGTAAATTCTGAGGCCTGGATTGATTGATTCATTTATTTTCTTTCTCTCTTGCCTCCATCTCTTCTCTCTCTCTCTCTTTCTCTGTTTGGTTTTGACTATTTTTCTAATTATCTGATATTTAAAGATTTATAATGTATAAAAATGAGAAAAGAAAAATTAACAAAATTACCTATAACACTGCTAAATAAAGACCAGTAGAAAACCATTTATGGTCTACTGTTAAAACTTTAGAACATTGTATTTTTTTTCAAGCAAGTTTTCATTATAAAATTAAAATCATGCTATATGTGCAATTTTATATCTCATTCTTTTCACTTAGCCAAAATATGGCCTAGCATAGTTCATGTCATTAAGTACTTTTCATATACATAGTTTCAATTGCTGTGTATTACATAATCTAAGTACACTATCAGCTACTCAATCTGTTTCCAATTTGTAGGCATTTAATTTATTTCTAACAGTTTAATTATAAGTCATATTATGGTGAACATTTATGATCATAAATCTTTGTTCACATTTCTGATTGTTTCCTTAAAGTAGATGCTTAGAAGAGGAATTAACAGTTTAGAGTTTTAACATTTTTTCAAACTTTCTAATATGTTTGGTCAACTTTCTTTCCAGAAAGGTTTTACCAATTTACAATCTTATTGGCAATGGATCAGAGTTATCTTTCTGTAGTACCCTGATTTGCAACATTATGTATTTCCATCCCTAAAATTTTGGCTAGTATAATAGTATAAAATGGTTTTTAAATTTCTATTTCTGATTGCTGATAAAGCAGCACTTTCTTCACTTATTTATTAGCCACTTGTATTTTCCATTTAATGACCTTTAGTTTCAGTTCTTTGTTTATTGGGCATCTCATGTTTTTTTTTATTGAATAGTTTAAAGACTTTAAAGAGCAAAGACTCTTTGAGATATCATCTAGAAACATTATTTGCACATTCGTTATCAATTTTCTTTATGGGAATTTGTGAAATAGGCAAGTCTTAATTTGCTTAATCAACTTATTTGTCTTTTCCATTGTCATATCTCCAATTGCCTTATATTTTAGAAAGCCCTTCCCTATCTAGAGATCAGATAAATATTTCTCTCTTTTTCTTGTCTTATAAGTGGTTTGATTTTGTAGTAATTAAACTCTAACCTACGTGGATTTTATTTTGCTATATTATATGTAGTAAGTTCCTATATTGATGAGGTTATATATTTTCCCAAATAATTAACCAATTGGCTTAGCACCAAGTATTGAATTCTGCTGTTCCCTAAGGTCCCTTTGTCTTTGTCTCTCTTAAATCCAATCACAGGGAATAGAGTTGCTCTTCCATGCTCTTCTAGAACAATCCTCGCTGTTGTTGTGAGTGGTTTCCTAGGAAGCACATCTTATCTCCATCCTCTTGGCTGTCCTGCTTTATCTTACATGTGACTCGATGTCGTTTCTTTCATTCCTTCTTCTCAGCAATCACATCTCAATAATTTGTATTTCTTTTGGCAGAATATTTCATTTAGGGTGAGTTACTCAGCAAGATTGGGAAAGATGATTGACAGTTTATTTCCAAAAAATTTAATTTATTTTCCACATCATAAATAGCCATGGCAAGAAGGTCCAGTTAGAAACTTCCTGCACCTATGACACAGAGCCAGATATTTTATCACTTCAAGCTGTGAGGCAGATTACCCCAAACTCCAGCCAGCTCTAACGAGCTGTGCTCTGAAACTCTTGGGTATTTCCAAAGGAAAAGTCGAATTAACTGAAAAGATATTTTAAGGCTTCTCTGTGAGCCTTTCTTCATTGTTACCTTCTAGATAGCAGAAAAAATGTTTCCCAAACTGCCTTCTGTGCATTTGGGTAGCTCTGGAACATGGGAAAGTTGAAAAGGAACCAGCTGGGATAGACTTTGACCATCTTATATAATCATTTAGAATTGATTCTGAAAGTTGATTTGATACTTTAGAGGTATATTTTAATATTTTAAGTCGATATCAATCCAATGTTTACCCATCTCTTCTCTGAGACTGATCTTAGAAGGCAGTATTTCAAGAGATATGAAATTAATTCCAGAGTTTTAAGTAAAAGATACATTGAAAAATGTTTTTATTCATATATGCATGCTTATACCTAAAACTTAAATGCAGCAGAAACTCCTTCACACCTTCTGAAAAGAGATTGGAAATGTGAAAAACAATTTGAACATGCGGCGATCCATTTTTAACAGATAAATAATATTTAGATTAAAAATTTGAATGTTAAATACAGCCCCATCTTAAGCATCTTGTTACATTATATATTGTAATTCATGTATCTAAGCATGTGTTCTGCAGGCAAGTCCCAGTACACTTGTGCCAGAGGACACTTAGCAGGGGTCTCTTCTGATAGGTTAGTGCCTTCCTTCTACTGCTTGTTAAATACTTTCAATATCATCCCTGCCTACACCTCTAGAAAAATCAGAGAAAAGGTGTATGCATAAACAATAACGCTGATTCTTCCCGTATAAGTTGTATCACTTGAGATCCATGTAACTGCAGAAGAAAAAACAGATGATAATTTTGCTATTTTCTTCACGTTGAGAAGCAAGAACACTCTTTTTATCAAGGTGAAACCTAGTGTTTACTATTAGATTCTTCTAAAAAATTTTATTGGATTATAGTTGATTTACAATGTTGTGTTAGTTTCAGGTGTACAGCAAAGTGATTCAGTTATACATATATTCATTCTTTTTCAGATTCTTTTCTCATGTAGGTTATCACAGAATATTGAGTAGAGTTCCCTGTGCTATACAGTAGGTCCTTATTGGTTATCTATCTTATATATAGTAGTGTGTGTATGTTCATCCCAAGCTCCTGATTTATTCCTCCCCATCACATTTCCCCTTTGGTAACCATAAGTTTGTTTTCAATATCTGTAAGTCTTTCTGTTTTGTAAATAAGTTCATTAGGTTTGTTTTTTTTTTAAAGTGTAAACTGTTTTTTGTTTTTTTAAAAAATTTATTTATTTATTTTTGGCTGTGTTGGGTCTTCGTTTCTGTGCGAGGGCTTTCTCTAGTTGCGGCGAGCATGGGCCACTCTTCATCGCGGTGCACGGGCCTCTCACTGTCGCAGCCTCTCTTGTTGCGGAGCACAGGCTCCAGACGCGCAGGCTCAGTTGTTGTGGCTCACGGGCCTAGTTGCTCCGTGGCATGTGGGATCTTCCCAGACCAGGGCTCGAACCTGTGTCCCCTGCATTGGCAGGCAGACTCTCAACCACTGTGCCACCAGGGAAGCCCCATTAGGTTTTATTATATAAAAAAATAAAGGAATGATGTCTAAAAGGACCTAACTTTAATACATTCTCTCTATATTTTAAAAACACTTAGTTATCTAACTAGTTCACTAACCAAACAATAAATTTTTGAAGTATGTAGCATTTATTAACAGATATTTTAAAATATAAGTTTAATTATTTAATTAATCCAAATCTCCTTAGAATAAGTGTTCCCCTAAAATATGACATCTATTTTCACCCTTCCATTTTTTTTCCATCAGAGATCCACCCACCTTTTTAAAAAGCCATTTCAGTCATTGGCAGAAAGAGAAGTGGTACCAATTTTTAAAGTGTAACAGTTAGCAGATGAGTGAATAGGGAAAAATACAGTGTGGTCCCCACCCGCACCCTAAGATTGTATGCAGTGAGTACATCAGGTGTCCTTCCATTCTTAGCAATCATCGTCCTAAGCAGAAACTTGAAAATTTTATGTCTAGACCACTGATATCACCAAAGGTGTATGTCTGATTCCTCCCTAGCTGACTGGAAATATGGAGACTTTCGCAAGAAGGATGTTAGATTCACTTTTAGTCAGATGTTAGATTGAATCAGTATATTTCATAACTTTCATCAGGACGTCCAAAAAATGAATTAAAACCAGAATGTAACATGCCCAAGTTTTTCTCATGTTGTTTAGCTCTTGAGTCTAAAGAGCTGAAATTTGATTTTGAGCAACCCTTAGCCACTCCCCAAATGGACAGTTCCTCTTTATCTCAGGGCCTAAGAATAAAGTTAAATCTACAATGGATATGCTGCCGCCACAAAAATATCAAATGGACAAACCTGTAAAGAGTACCTTGCAAAGAACAGCACCCTGATGTTACCACTACTTTTATTAAAGCTAATTTTCAAAATATAATATCGGGAGGAAGGTAGTGTAATGCAGGGTGAATCCAAAGTCTTTCATGTGGCTACTGCTGCTGTGGTTATTTCTAGATGAGTGTAGGTTTTCCCTAACCAGAACTGGAAAGCAAGCTGGACTGGCCCTCAGGGGCATTGCCTTTTACCACTTCAGCATCCTCTCCCCATTGAATCTGACCAACTGGTTACTCAGCCACAGTGTCCCCAGAAAAATGGTAAAAATGATTTCCCTTAGCCAGTCACCCTGCTCAGGATATAGCACAACCTGGGTTCTTAAGGAATAGAATTTCTCAAAACTGAAAAAAATAATTAATCCCTTAAACGGTAGGAGGGAAATATGCTCACTTCTTGAATACAATAAACATTTAAAAAATAATTGCTGAAGGGTGGGATGAGAGCTGAGGAAGGAAGTGGTGATGGTGGTTTGCTGCAGGAATGGGGTCAGCAGGCAGCAGAGAAAAGAGAACCAGGGAGGAAATGGCCTAAGAAAGAAAACTGGTACCAGGGTGGTGTCCGTGGGGAGCAGTAGCACTGTGCTGAGACCACTCCAGCAAAACTGTCGCAGCATCTTGTGGGATGCGGGACTTTCACTACCTCGCTTCCCACCCCGACACCCGACACCAGCTACACTGAGACTTCTATACACGTTGATAGATGCTCATAACAGCAAACCTGTGAGTGTAAGGAAAGGTTACTGGTAACTTTATAAACAACATCATACATGAAACAGTTCAATTGAAATTGAGCTGTAATTGGTTACATACTGTTAACTTGGAAATTATCATAATATTTTATTATGTTTAGTAAGTCCAGGTTACAGATGTTTCCCTACATTTTTATAAAAAGACACAGGGAAAGAATTCATAGTGTGGATTTCTTACTGGGAATTTTAGAGGCTTCAGCATTAAACACTTTGGGCAGAAGGATTTTCCTGATGCCCTTGACCTAGAGATTATCATACTAAGTGAAGTGAGCCAGACAAAGACAAATATCCTATGATATCATTTATGTGTGGAATCTAAAAAAAAACGATGCAAATGAACTTCTATACAAAACAGAAATAGACCCACAGACATAGAACATAAATTTATGGTTACCAAAGCGGAAAGGGGAGGGGAGAGATAAATTAGGAGGTTGGAATTAACATATACATATTACTATGTATAAAATAGATAACCAACAAGGACCTGTAGCGCACAGGGAATTATACTCAATGTTATGTAATAACCTGTAAGGGAAAAGAATCTGAAAAAGAATATATATATATATATATATATACACATGTATATATGCACATATATGTATACAGTCTTATATATATATAATCTGAATCACTTTGCTGTACACCTAAAACTAACACAACATAAATCAACTATATTTCAACTAAAAAAAAAACCCTACTTACAGAGAGGGAGCTAGTACTTACTCATTAGTCTTGGCGCATCTTTGGATTGTAGATTGGGCAAGAGAATAATTATAGGTCTAGAAAGAACTTGATTCTGCAGCTAAATGGTTTCCTTGTTTTTTGGCAGCACACGCTGCCCATATAGTCATGTCATCATCTTAACAGAACACTGGTCTGTACCCATATAAGAACTCGAAGAGACACTGTGTTCCATTCATGCCAAGAGTGGAATATTTTCCACTTGTTTTTGTCAAAAACTTGCTTAAAACAAATCATCCACAGGGAAGGAAATAAGAATTGCAATAATGCCGTTCAAAAGCAATCAGCACATCAACCCATAGGCGTTTCTGCTATAACGTGATGTGTCTCTGAAAAACTTCACGCTCTGCCAAGTATACACTACATGGCAGGACTCACTGGGCAAACAGAGGACCAGCCATTCAACAGTCTTTGGAACGGTAGACACAGTTTTGTCGAACGTGATTATTAGCACCGGGAAGGACACTGCGGCTCCGCGGGCTAGCATCCCCTGTGGAACCGGAGGTTGCCGCGGCAGGGGTTAAATGCTCAGGAATGATAGAGGCCACGTGTGGCAACCCTTTCGCTGAAGCAGCACAGGTGGACGTAAGGTGGACACACCAGTGCAGGGCCATGGGCCTGCCTGTCCCTCTCTGGGGAAGGGTCCTGTGAGCAGGTACACTTATTTAATTTTCTTATGGTAAATCCAGAGGTCTTCTGCCAGTGTGACCTCAAAACTGACTTTTTTTTTTTTTCTACTGATGGTTATACTTGCATTCCTGCTATTCCCCTCCCCTTGCCTGGGGAAAGTTATGTATAAATTATATTTACATCATTCCTCTATTGACCAAGAGTGTATGAGCTATGCAGTACAGAAGCATATATAGTAGCTAAAAAGACTGCTGGTTAAAATAGCTTTTCCTAGTTATAAATGTAATTCACCCTTGTAAGGAACTTGGAAAATATAGAAAGGTACACAAAATAAAATATGAGATTATAAGAAATAACTACTGTTAAAAAAAAAAAGAGCTATCTCCTTCTGGTCTTTTGTCTATACATATTTGTTATACAGTTACGTTATACTATGAATATAAATTTGTGTCCTTTGTATTTATACTGTACATATTTCCCACTTTAGTAAATAGATGTCAGAAATTTAAACCATAATTTATTTAACAAAACCTCTGCTTTGGAATGATGAGGTTGTTTCACATTGTGGTAATAAACACCCTTACACATAAATGATGCCTGTATCTTTGATCACTTCCTTAGGCTAGACTGCTAAGTAGGAAATTACTGGGTGTTTTAGTCCATCAGGGCTGTTATAACAAAAATACCACAGACTGGGTGGCTTAAACGGTCAATTATTTCTCACAGTTCTGGAGCCTGTGAAGTCCAAGATCAAGGCACTGGAAGATTTGATGTCTTGGGGAGAACTCACTTCTGGCTCACAGACAACCATCTCACATGGTGGAAGGGTGGAGGGAGTTCTCTGGCATAAGAGCACTAATCCCATTCAAGAGGGTGGAACCCTCATGAGTTATTTACTTCCCAAAGGCCCCACCTCCAAATACCATCACATTGGGGATTAAGTTTCAACACGTGAATTTTGGGGGGATACAAGCTTTCAGTCTATAGCGCTGGGCCAATATACAATACAAGAAGTATAGATACTTTTTAAAAATAATCTGATAAAAGTAAACTTTTATTTTTTTGTGTGTTTTAAACATAAGGACTTTACTACAAGAAGAAAAATAGCCAACAGTAAATGTGGTATTGTGGCACTTCTTTATTATCGGCATATCGTTTATTAGAATGGGAACGTGTTAGCAAGTCTCTTCTGTTCACAACTGTAAACACCTATGTGGTTAAGTACCTCATTCAGCATATCCTGGATTGTCAGCAGATCTAGTACATGGAGTATCTATACCATGCATACAGGCTAGATCAAGCATCAAAAAATGCATGTCATGCTTACGCCTTTACCTCAATCTAATTCTCTGTATATTTGCTGCCCTTCTCTTATCCTGTTCTGTGTCTCTCGCATGGCCATCTTATCTCTGGCTCACAATCTCCAGTGATGACTCCACTGTAAAGTTAACACTAAATGTGCCCCTAGGTCAAGCCACTCTATGGCATCAAAACTTCCTGTGGGGCGTCTGAGGCAACTTGGAAGAAGGGAGAATGCACAGTCCTCTGGGACCTGCCCTTCCAATTTTGAGGTCCTCTGGGCATGAATATGTACAGAATAGTTAAAAGTACAGGCTTTGGAAGTAGAAATGTCTGGATCTGAGTCCCAGCTCTGCCTTCATGGACAAGGAAATACGTGGCGTCAGGAGTTCACGGCAGTTGTATCTGAAGTAGCAGGGCAGCAGTGGGGCCTACTCAGACAATTGATGTTGATTGGTTTTAAAAGAATATGTAGCTTGAAATCTTTTTTTGAGAGGAAACGTAAAGACAGAATTTGGCTGGTTCGCCTCTCAAATGAAGTGAAAATAAACTAGTATTCAATTCAGAGGATTTAATTTCTTTCCATTGCAGTTTCTAAGTAAATTAAACTAATGGGAGTTTTGAAGAAACTGCTTCTGTCAAATCTTTGGACACTTATGGGGAAAACCAAGTGAGCACAATAAAATAGAGGCAGATATACGTACTAAAGATCTTTTCAGCAGCTGTTAAACCTGTGTCATGGGGAACTTCACTAAAGACAAGGTCTGCTTCCAGTTTTTTTTACTTATTTATTTTTTTAAGTTAACAGTAACTCAAAAGCTGACTCTCTTCCTCTCTTTTCAGCCAGCATATGTCCCAAAAAAGCTAATCCCAGTAACAATCATCAAGCAAGGTAATTTGTATGCCTCTGCTCTGGATATGTGTTTAGAACTATTTTAATATACTTTTTAAACTGAGATAATTAAACATAGCACATAGTTTTTCAATTTTTCTGATTATTTTCCAGAAAAAATTTGAAGAAATCAGTCTAGTAAATTAGAAGTTGACAGATAATTTTGCCTCTTGTACTGTTAGGCCAGGTCTTGGCAAAGCACATTGGCTGGACAACCAGGGACAGAGCAACCCTAACAAGCATTAAGTTTTAAAATCCAATTAAATATATGTGGCTTTCTTCAGGATTAAGATAGCTTACATGTAGAAAATCATTAATAGGATATTTGGATTAATGAAATGATAATTATGATATAGAGGTCACTTTAAGGAAAGTAAAGAAATCCAGGTTTTAAGAGTTATGTTTTATTTCAGCCTCCACTCATTTTTGTTTTGACTTTCAGTTTTTCAAATTATTTAAATGACTCCATTATTTCCAGAAAGTTTCTTGGTGGAAGAGATTGAGCACTTAAAATAGTTATTCATTTTAAGGAAACACAATGTCCCAAGAGTATTCTCAAAACAGTGTCAGTCAGTATTGGAATTATCCAAAGATTCTTTGCTCTGAAAATGTACATTTCCTAAATCTCTTTATTTACTGAGTCAGTCTTTGCCTCATTTTGTGCTAGTTCTTTAACTTGGGTAGGCTGCAGAGAGTAGAGCTGAGAAAGGAAATTTTTAGCTAATTAGAATGGAACACTTTCATTGCTTAAAGGCACAGGAATTAAGATAAGATGTGCCTTCTAGACCTTTCGTTGCCTGTGTAGCCAGCCCAATGAGTTCCTTTCTGTTAATTAAAAAGTTAGATCAGGGTTTCTCCAGTGCAGATGGTGTCATGTTATTAGCTTCTTTCTGCTTCCTGACTATTCTTTTTCCATTCACACTGTTATCTTTTGGTATTTCAACAGTGATTCAGAATGTTACTCACAGGGCCTCAACTAAATCCCCAGAAAAGACTCCCTATGGAGGAACAATACTGGGTGAGTCTATCTTGAAATCTACACCTACATTAGTCAAGTCAGGCTCTTTTTTTTTGATAATAAGGCCTTATGGAATTTTGCACTGTGAGCAGGTCTGTTAAATTGATGTTGGTTCATTTACCTTCAGTATTTAGCATCCTGGCTTGTGACCATTCCAGGCTAGGATCCAAGAGATGCTACCTCTATCCTAGTGTGTTAGAGAAACAACTCTAGCTTGTGCCTATTGGGCATGATGGCTCCCCTCCTGCCTACCCCACAGGGCTGTTGCTGTTATGAGGGAGTCTTTGTCATATTGAATTACTCTCTTAAAAGTTGTTATTAATAATGGTGTTTGTTCACACATTTTAAGCAACCATTTTACAATTTTTGAGTCTATGGATTAAAAGCCAGAATATTTGGTGGTTCAGTTCTGAATATGAAAAAGATTCTGCATAAAAGTTACTGTCATATTTTTTCCAACATTTTAAAGTTTGGGTTAAAATTGACTAAGCAAAATAAGCACAAAACTTCATGGTTTCTAATGCTCTGAACTTTGTGATGGGATGCATTTTCTTTTACTTCTGTTTTCTTTCAGTCCACCTTGTTATTCCAGGTCTTAATGAAACCACCATAAAACTTCCTACCTCCATAATGTTTGAGATTTCGGATGCAATCAAGACACAGTTAGGTAAGCAGCAAAGATCTATATGTGAACTTTGCAGGGACAGTACTAGCAGTGATATTCCTAGGATATCCAAGGGATCTAGCAAATGAGCTGTTTGGGGATCTCAAAGTAAAAACTAAGGAACAGGCACGTGCACTGTTGATGGGAATATAAAATGGTACAATTGCTGTGGAAAACAGTATGACGATTCCTCAAAAAATTAAAAATAGAATTACCATATGATCCAGCAATTCCACTGCTGGGTATATAACCAAAAGAACTGGGTGGGGAAAAGGTCTTAAAGAGATATTTGTACACTCATATTCATAGTAGCATTATTCACAATATCTAAAATGTGGAAACAATCCAAGTATCCATCAACAGATGAATTGATAAACAAAATGTGGTATATATATACAATGAAAGATTATTCTGCCTTAAAAAGGAAGGAAATTCTCACATTTGCTATAGTATAAATGGACCTTGAGGACATAATGCTAAGTGTAATAAGCCAATCACAAAAGACAAAATGACTGTGTGATTCCACTTATATGATGTACCTAGAGTAGTCAGATTCATAGAGACAGAAAGTAGAATGGTGGCTGCCAGAGACTGGAGAAGGAGGAAAATGGGGAATTAGTGTTTAATGGTATGGAGTTTCAGTTTTACAAGATAAGGAGAGTTCTGGAGATGCATGGTGGTGATGGTTGCACAACATTATGAATGTATTTAATACTACTGAACTGTACACTTGAAAAATGATTGAGATTGTAAATTTTTTGTTATGTATCTTTTACCACGATAAAAAAAATTGGAAAAAAAGTAAAGGGTAGATAGGATGGAGTGTTGGAGTTATTCATATAAATCACATTCTATAGGGAAATAGTTATTTTATATTTATATTTATGAAAGAAAAGTGAATGATCAAATTAACCAAAATATACACATTTATACAGGTATAATTTTCAAATGGAGTCATTGTTATAAATTACACTTATTATACTATACTATCAAGGGGCCACTAGAGGTCTTCAGTGGTAACTGAGGTAAGGGTCAGGTCTGTTAGAATTATTATTTACTTTGAGATTGATACTGCTTCCTACTTCTAGAAAGCACCTGATATGATTTTAGTGTTTAAAAAACATAAAACATAACAATTTGGGGAAAAAAGCAGCAAAATTCTGTAAAAGGAGTCCAGGAAACAATTGGGGTGGCCAGTGGGCTAAGCTAGTTGCTGCATTTGAGTATCACATTAGTCTGAATTCTCTCTGTAGCAGAGGATCTCACCCTTGATGAAGCATCGGAAGCCGTGGCGGGCTTGTTACACCCAGGCTGCTGGGCTCACCCCCAGGATACTGATTCCGTGGGTCTAGGGTGGGGCCTGAGAATTTGCATTTGTACCCAGTACTCAGGTGATACTGGTGCTGCTGGTCTGGAAGCCACACTTTGAGAACCACCCCTGTAAAGTCTCTGGAGAATGTCTTGGGCCACTGATAAATATGGAAGAAGGTGGCATGATGTGGTGGAAATTGAACAAGACTTAAAAATGTAGAATATTTTTCTTGAACTAGGCAATGGCTAAGAACTTCAGCACTTATATACTTGAATCTTCACATTTTATGGGTGTGGAAACAGGCCCAAGCCCCTGCTTGGCAACATTTATTCAACAAATATTTATTAAGCATTACTCGGGGCCAGAACTGCAAGTGGCTCGGGACATAATTGTGACTTACACAGGCATGGGACCCACCCACCCAGGAACCTCAGACTTAATTTCTCCTCCCTCATTGAAGGTCTGACCTGTTTGCTTGTTTGATGTTAAGCAATCAGATTGTAACAGTTCTAAAAGGTAAACCTTTACGTTCTCCTTAGCTGTTAGTTTGAGAACTTCCTGGAAGAAGGAGGAGCAAAGCCTTAATAAGTGGGTAGAAAAGCATAATTAGTGGACTTAGAATTTTGGAAAAATTTTCAAAATCTATGCATCACCATTTTATTAAGATATGAACATATTTTCCCATAAATCTTTGTGATTTTGTGCAGTTGTTACATTTTTACTGTAAAACATTCATACCTATTAGTCCTATGGTGAGTTACTTCCAAGAATGTAGACAAGTGATTCTAGGCTTTATTTCTTTAATTTGTGCATCAGACTTGATCACCTCCTGTTTATCTGTAAACCCTGAGACTCAACTCTACATCATCTAAATGCTGTGCTAAAAGCCAGGAAGCTTCCATATGAAATTCCCTGAGTGAACCTGTGTTTAGAACCAGAGCTCAGGACTCTTGCACTCACCTGTTCTCTGCCCAGAGCCTATTAATACTTAGCCCCGTGCCTGGGAAAGACTTGCTTGTTCTTCTTTCTCGAGATAGTTGCTTTAGGTGTAAGGATAGGTTGTTTATTTGAGATTTGTCTTGTCTCTTGAGGTAAGATTGTATTGCTATAAACTTCCCTCTTAGAACATCTTTTGTTGTGTCCCATAGGTTTTGGATCATCGTGCTTTCATTTCCATTTGTCGCTAGGTATTTTTTGATTTCTTCTTTATTTCTTCAGTGATCCACTGGTTATTTAGTAACATTGTTTAGCCTCCATGTGTTTGTGTTTTTTACAGTTTTTTTTTTTCCTGTAATTGATTTTTAATCTCCTAGCGCTATGGTCAGAAAAGATGCTTGATATGATTTCAATTTTCTTGAATTTACTGAGGTTTGATTTGTGACCCAAGATTTGATCTATCCTGGAGAATGTTCTGTGTGCACTTGAGAAGAAAATGTATTCTGCTGCTTTCAGATGGAATGTCCTATAAATATCAATTAAGTCTATCTTTTACAATGTATCATTTAAGCCTTGTGTTTCCTTATTAATTTATTGTCTGGATGATCTGTCCATTGGTGTAATTGGGGTGTTAAATTCCCCACTATTATTGTGTTACTGTCAATTTCCCCTTTCATGGCTGTTAGCATTTGCCTTATATACTGAGGTGCTCCTATGTTGGGTGCATATATATTTACAATTGTTATATCTTCTTGGATTGTTCCCTTGATTGTTATGTAGTGTCCTTCCTTGTCTCTTGTAACAGCCTTTATTTTAAAGTCTATTTTGTCTGATATGAGTATTGCTACTCCAGCTTTCTGTTGATTTCCATTTGTGTGGAATACCTTTCTCCCTCCCCTCACTTTCAGTCTGTATGTGTCCCTGGGTCTGAAGTGTGTCTGAAGTGGGTCTCTTGTAGACAGCATATATATGGGTCTTGTTTTCGTATCCATTCGGCCAGTCTGTGTCTTTTGGTTGAAGCATTTAATCCAATTACATTTATGGTTATTATCAATATGTGTATTCCTATTGCCATTTTCTTAATTGTTTTGGGTTTGTTTATGTAGGTCTTTTTTCTTCCCTTCCTTTTTTCTTCTCTTGTGGTTTGATGACCATATTAGTGTTGTATTTGGGTAGGTTTTTCTTCTTTGTGTGTTTATCTATTGTAGTTTTTTGGTTTGCATTTCCCATGAGGTTTTGATAAAACAGTCTATATATATACAAGGTTGTTTTAAGTTGCTGGTCTCTTAATTTCAAATGCAATTCTGATTTCCTGCATTTTGTACTCTCCTCACAGTTGCTGGTTTTGATATCATGTTTGCTTATGAATTCCTGCTTTTACTGTATGTTTGTCTTTACCAGTGAGCTTTCCTATTTGTGATTTTCTTGTTTCTAGTTTTGGCCTCTTGGGAAAGAGTTGTTCAGAAGGAGAAGAAAAGGAAGGAGCTGGCCAGTCTCTTACTGATTTGGTCCCTAATCTGTTCATCAGAATTCAAAAACCAGGATTTGTGAAGGAGACCGAAAATGAGCAGAGCTTTTCCCACACCACTGCTCTCACTTTTTTTTTTTTTTTGGAGTGTAGTTGATTTACAGTGTTGTGTTAGTTTCAGGTATACAGCATAGTGAATTAGTTATACATATATGTATATGTCCACTCATTTTTAGATTCTTTTTCCATATAGGCCATTACAGAGTATTGAGTAGAGTTCCCTGTGCTATACAGTATGTTCTTATTAGTTATCTATTTTATATATAGTAGTGTGTATTTGTCAATCCCAGTCTCCCAATTTATCCCTCCACCTCCCTTATCCCCTGGTAACCATAAGTTTGTTTTCTACATCTGTGACTCTACTAGTGTTTTGTAAATAAGTTCATTTGTACCCTTTTTTAGATCCACATATAAGCAATATCATATGATATTTGTCTTTCTGTGTCTGACTTATGTCACTCAGTATGACAGTCTCTAGGTCCATCCACATTGCTGCACATGGCATTATTTTGTTCTTTTTTATGGCTGAGTAATATTCCATTGTATATATATACCACATTTTCTTTATCCATTCCTCTGTTGATGGACATTTAGGTTGCTTCCATGTCGTGGCTATTGTAAATAGTGCTGCAGTGAACATTGGGGTGCCTGTATCTTTTCGAATTCTGTTTTTCTCCATGTATATGCCTAGGAGTGGGATTGCTGGGTCATATGGTAGTTCTACTTTTAGTTCTTTAAGGGACCTCCATATTGTTCTCAATAGTGGCTGTACCAATTTACATTCCCACCATCAGTGTAGTAGGGTTCCCTTTACTCCACACCCTCTCCAGCACTTATTGTTTGTAAATTTTTTGACGATGGCCATTCTGACAGGTGTGACTGATAGCTCATTGTAATTTTAATTTGCATTTCTCTAATAATTAGTGATGTCAAGCATCATTTCATGTGCTTTTTGGCCATCTGTATGTCATCTTTCAAGAAATGTCACTGTTGAACTGAAATGTGTTTTGTTCCTTAGTTCTTGGTTTTAAGGACTATTTCCTAAATTTTTTGTTTTGTTTTGTTTTTCCAAAGTTCCACCTGCTATCTTAATATCAGTTCAAGCTTTTCATTTTCTTTAATTTAGAGAATTAAACAGTTGATTTTTTGGTTTGCTTTGCTTTTTGCTTTTGTTATTCTGATACGAATCACTGAAACTTCAGGATTAAGTGTGATTTTAATGAAGACAAATTAAAATGCAGATAGTATATGTATTTTAAAACTTATTTCTAGGGAAGCACCTATCTTAAATTGAATACATGGTGAATTTCTTACACATTGAAGAGACTGATAGGCAGTATGTTTGAAGATGTCCAGTAAACCCACTGAATGTACCATTTTAGACTATGTTACAAACTACATTTTAGATTTACTGGTTTTTATGAAGAGTGTGAGCATAAACAGTTCTTTATACCAATGAAGGAGAAATAAACTTTCCTGAAGTTATTTACCACTGCAATTCAGAAAAGTCCTGTACAAGAGGTTAAATCCTAAAAATAATATTCTCATTCCAGCAGGACCCAATGTGGGACATCAAGAAATTAATAACTTTTGTTCTAAGAACACATGGTATGAATAATGAGAGAAATAAACAAGAAAGCTAGTAATACACACACCTCCTGGGGACATGAAAAGGGTTTGCCAAAGCCAAGACTTAGCCTGCCAATAATGAAAGGAAACAACTGTGTTGAAAAACAGTAAGAAGAATCAGAGAGGAAAAGGAATTTCCTGGGGTTTAGGCTATGTTCTAATGGCATTTTACTCTGCTGTTGCCAAGACCAGTTGTACATAGATAGTGTAGGTGAATGCTCATGGCTTGATAGGAGTCACAGAGAGTCCCCATTCAAGTTCTTTCCCTTCAATCAATTTCTCTCACACCCGAAGAGCCATAGAAATACGGTATGCCTCTATAAGGAATTAGTGATGGGTAGAGAATACAAATACCTCTTGGGAAGGTAGTTTACTGTTTTTCTTCATTAGCAGCCTAATTTTAGGTTAATGGTATTACCCTGTAAGAGCATGCATAAGGAGCTAAAGCAAAGCAATTCAGAGCATTGCCTGAAAGTCTAGAATCTGGAGGTTAAAATAAATAAATAATTTTTTAAAATAAATAAATACACAGTCCTAGTCAGCCAGGGAAACACCAAGAGTGTAGGATATTACACAGGAGGGAAAGGATTAGTAAAAATAATCCTGAAGGAGAAGAGGACACTGAAAAAGAAGAGATCGTTGAAAAAAATTACATTAAAAAAAGAATCTTCCTGTGGTACATGCTGAAAATAACAGGACTAGAGCTCATCAAAATTTGTAATCTGAACAGTTTTTCCTGTGCTAACACTCACAGTGGTTCTAAACCAAAGCTGTGACTACAAAAGAAGAAGGAAAAAAAATGTTGATGAGATTTAGAAATCTAAAAAATAGAATTTATCATAAAATTTTACTGGATCTGTTTATTTTTTTAGTTATTCCAGAAAGAGTCCCTTCTCTTTATGTCCTGCTAAATTAATTTGAACAATGGTATTAAACATTTCTGTTGTACAAACATGCTGTACAGCTTCATGAGCACAGCAATTCAGAACACACACTTGACTGATAGCTATGGCAAGTACACTAGCACTTGTGACGCCTATTTCTAGCATCTCAAATCACTCCTGAAAATCATAAGCTCAAGGAATCTATCATATAGTTTCATAATACAGATTGAAAATTGATTTGCTTCCATGATCTTTGTGAAAGGGATGACTTTATAATTGTCTTTAAGTCCATCAGAAGTAAATGAATATTTTGTGCCCATGTTAACTGAAAAGAAGAAAATGGTCTTTACAACAGTGATGTGAACTATAGGAAGAAGTTACAAAATTTACATCCTCAAAGAACTTTGAGAGAACAGATTAGATCAGTAGTTCTCAACAGAGGTCAATTTTGTCCCCTCCCCAGGATATTTGGCAGTGTCTGGAGACATTTTTGGTTGTCACAGCTGTGGAAGGGTGGAATCCAGTGAGTAAAGGCCAGAGATGCTGCTAAATATCCTACATTTCACAGGAAAACCCCATAAAAAAAATTGTCCAGCCCGAAATGTCAGTAGTGCCAAAGCTGAGAAACCCAAGAAGTTCCTTACAGCCTTAGGATTCTTAAAAAATCCCATCTGATTATAATCAGTTCAAGGAGACATGATCAGGGTATCTCAAAGATGAATGAATTCTTTCATGCCACTAGACTGTTTCAAAATATTATAAGTAGGTCATTGATTCAGTGTGCTAAATAACTGAATCAAGTTAATCCTAAGTGCATTTTGGAGAATATGGAGAATATCTTAATCATTGGGCAATTCTGGTACAGAAATGTACTTTCTTTGAAAAGGAATACCTAAATTTTAGAAGAAAGTTTCCTGAATACTTGTCAGAAGAGAAAAGAAATAGAATAAAAAAACAGACTTCATTTTTTTACACTGAATTCCCACACAGACCCAAAGAAAATATCTATGTTAACATGAGGTTCAAATAAATAACTGTTGGTATTTTTTCCTAACCACAAATATCCTCAAATAACTTAGTCTCCTATGTGTATTATTCATGTTTTTTTAAAACTTTAGAGCCATACCCTATTATATTTTTTACCATGCATAATAACAGATAATTTCTATTCATTGATTTTTTTAAAAAAAAATTAGGAGTAATTGAATATAAAATTCCAGGGAGCATTTGCTATGCCTTACAACCTGTGCCTTCAAGAAACTCTGTTTATGAGTCAGAATGACTTGAGAGCTATCCAAGTACTGGGTTGTGATTTTTTTCCTCATTCCAGTGCCAACTTAGATCTTAAAGAATTACCTAGGGTTAATGAGAAAGAATTCTGAAGACTGTCACTACTAATACTAGTCCCTGGTAGAAATGCACAATAAATTTATTGACTGCCTGGTGGGAAGGGATAAGAGCAGAATAGATTTCTTGAAATAGTCTGTTGCTTGATTGTTTTGAGGGAATTATATTTGGGTACTCTATTATGAGGAAGTGAGATAAATTGTTTATTTTCTGAATTTTTTAGCTAAGAATGAAACCTTGGCACTGCCTGCTGAATCTAAAACACCAGAGATAGAAAAAATCCCAGCACAGCCCGTAACAGGTAATGAGATCCCTACGTTATTAACTTTGAGAAAATAAATAATGTATTTTCAAGTAGTAACTGATTGACAAGCCTGTATTTTTTTTTCAGTGAAGAGCCAGTAGGAAATTCATTTTGATCATAAGCACACAACAATAGGGGATTCTGGGTCTTTAATGTTTGGAAAAACAGCAGATGCAAATGAACCATTGAATTCTATAACTGATATGTAATATGGAAGATGTATTTTTCACTTTAAGTGAAAGTTGTTACCGCAACATTCTGAAATATTTTTATACTAAGATGTAACACCATGGTTTGGGTGCTTTCCTTTTATAAGAAGACACGAGAGCATTTTTTCATTTCTTCACTTTCACAAGTGATTGGTTTAGCAAAATGCCATTATCCCTCATAAATCCATAGTTTAATGTCTATGCAAATACCTTGGAATCATTTAGTAACAATGTCTCTTGAAGATTAACAATGCTCATGTAGAAAATACCTAATAGTTCAGTAAAAATCCTTTAAAGAATAAACGCAGTACGCATTTTCCCCAGTTTATCAACCATTACTAACAAACATTCAGCATGTCTTATGTGAATGAACTGCCCAAGTCCAACCCACTGGGGACACGTTATTCTCTGAACTACAGAGTTTTTGCCAGAGCAATACCACTTCATCCAGAGCTCTGTGAAACAAATATCTGGCAAGAATTCCTCCAAATCTACATTTAGCAAAGTAACTCCAATCTAAAGTGAATTTCTTAACCCATAAAATTGCCATAAATTGAAATATCAGTGATATTTACCTTGTACTAAACTCTTGGACTCCTAACTAGTCCAGAGAAAATAAAGATTGGTGGGGAAATAAAATGGCTTGATTTCTAGAAACCTATTCAAGTAGAAATATTTCTGACAGAGTAAGAAGTACTTGGTCCTACCTAAAGGTGAGAAATGGACCTTCCATCCCCCACCTTCATGGGAGTTGGAGCAAGGGTAGACTCTGATGCTGGAATAAGCTATTTGAATGAAATTCCTAGGTAGTTTTCTGATTTCAATATAATTAGCCAATACCAAGAAAAGCATTCCCAACTACACTTCTTCTCTTGGCATAGTATCTGATGGGAGAGTCAACAGAGTTCTTAGCTCTCTGCCAAACCTTCCTCAGGATTTTCCACTTCAGAAACACTTAGGCAAACACCATAATTCATTATTCAGTGTCACTGTGTTTATTTCATATCCTTACCCTACAAAATTCTGGAATTGTGTAGCTCACAATTCATTCCAAATCTCAGTGATCCTGGTTCTTATTCCTCAAAAACTATTTACCTGAAGGTCATCTTTACCTTTGATCTAGCACTTGAAACAACCCTGTGACTGAGCATTTGAATCCTCATAATTTCAGCCCAGTTCCAAGCTTTGCATGTTGACTACAGTTTGGAAGAGAGAAGTCTTTAAAATGTAATAGTTCTAAATAAATCTTTTTGACCTGGGTCATTATGTTATCTGCCCATTTATTAACTTGTTTAATAAATATTTATCATGTGCTTGCTTACTATACTGCAGACTTTGTGCTAAGAAAAAAGGGCAGACCCAAAATTATGATTAAACTGATAAATGCTTCCATGGGGGTCAATTCCACGTGCTTTTTGGAACACATGGAAAGTGGACAAACCCAGAAAGGAAGGGTTGGGAGGAGGTGTCAGTTCAGACACAAGCCAGGGAGCCCTTAACATAATTAACTTGAAAAGAATTAGTCCGTGTAAGTGTCAGTTCTAATTCCAAAAGGCAACGAAAGTGCCTTATTGTCTTGAGTTGTTTCATCATTTATCTTAATTTGTAAAGTCATCTTTTTTACCTTCCAGTGACTCCTGAATCAGTTCCAAGAACCACTAAACCCACTGTGTCTAGTGCATTAGACATTTCAGAAACAATACCGGGTAATTCTAAGAACTTTTTTTCTTAAAAAAAAAAAAAAAAAAAAAGACCCTCCCAACCGTCATACAAAAGTAACCCCAATGCCTTGGCTTCCCATCCTCCCCACTTTCTTTCCTACCTTACTGGCAGTAGTTCATCTTCTGTTTCTCAGACCAATTCCATTAAAGTGTTAACGACATACCTTGATCCTGATGACTAATATTCTAGGCAGCTCTGGTTGCTATATGCTAACTGTACACCCTTTTTACCAGTCTCTTGGGAGGTATAGAAAAACAATGCCAACCTTTTAACCTACAAAGCTTGGAGGAGTGAGAGTCTTGACTATGTCTGTGCTTTCCATTTCAGTTGGCTTTTCCAAGTCTTGTGTGTACTAAACTTAAGGAGAATCCCCCGAAGTGACATGCCTTTTACTAAGAATTTCATGTCATGCAAGTTAGCTGCTTCTTGGCCCAAGAGAATCTAACCTGCTTTATTCTCTTCTCCAAAAAAAAAAAAAAAAAAGAACAGCATGTACGTATTTTGTTCTGTACTTGTGATGTTGATCTTCCATGCCACACCATGGCCATTTGAACGTATACCTTCAAATTATAACTATGTAAAACTTTTTCCAGAGAAAGCCAGCTATTTCCATGAAAGGCATCAGCTGCCCAGTGCACCCTCTGTTATGAGCATGCCTCACGTGACATGGTTAAGCCACAACGTCAAATCCCGACTCAGGGAGTTTCTAACTGAATTCTTCTTTATTGCAGTTCTTAGGGGAAGGACCCCCGAAACACCGCAAACTATTTTAATACCTAGGTTTGAATTGCCACTGAGCACTCTAGGTAAAAATTATTAAACACTGCAGCTTATTATTACCTTGGAAATATTATGCATGCTTGAAAGAAGTCCTTAGGCTAATTCATTCAAATTTATCTCCTCACAGAAAAGAAGGGACACATGGCTTATAGAACAGTAGACTCTCCAATACCAAGCCCTTAAATGTTATAAATTCTTTATTTTATAATCTAGGATCCTAAAGAGTCTTTCTCTATGACAAATCCTTTGGTAATTTTTCTTGGGGGTAGTCATATTTTGATATTATATTTGATTCTTTTAATTCAACATTATTGTGTCACTGAATAAATTATTTTCTATATTTTTCCTAAATATCTTTTTACTCAACTGTTTCTCTTGAAAGAGAAGATATATTTATGATATTTCTGCAGACTGCTTCTTAGAATCCTTAGAATTTACCTGCAATATCAAAAAAGTTGTTGGGGGAGCTTAAATATAAAGTCACATAGTTACTGAAATTCTATTTTTAAAAACTATTGGACAGACATTTTCTAGTTCATATGTGTTTGGTGCTTGACTTGAGTTTAAACTTAATATATCTGGGAACACATACGCAGAGCTGAAGAAATTAGGACACTAGTTTAATAAGGGTGAAAGAAAGAACCCAAACTCCTCAAATGCAGTGGCTTTATTATACAAAATAGAAAAAGAAGCTGTCTTATATTATCCATCATTGAAACACAGGAGTAAGAAATATATACTAGTAACAGTCCCTTACCTTACCTGAGTAATTTGCATTTGTGTGTTTGTTTTTGAAGCTTGAGATTTTAAAAACCTTTTCTCTTACTCACACTTCAAGCCATAACATTTCTTGTGTGTTTCATTGCAGCTCCGAAAAGCCTTCCAGAATTTCCTCAGGCAAAAACACCCTTCCCTTTTGAGAAAGCTGGGGGCACCTTGGGTAATAACAGCACCTTAAATCTGGTGTTAGGACGTGGGTGGTGATTGCTTAATTCTGTAGGACACGTTTACTGGATCTTATCTATGCAAACCTCAATGAACTGCTGAATTCAGTCAACTCACACAAACAAGTGGTTGATTGGTTTAAAAAAAAAAAAATCCAAAAACAACTATTTCTCTGATTGGATTTTCTACAAATTCAGTAACAATTATCAATCTATTAATTCCATATATAGCCCATTTAGTTAGTTTTCCGTCCTCAAAAAGGTGAGAGTATGACACCAAACTCTAGTCTCCTTCTAGTCTCTACTCAAATGCTCTCTGAATGGGTGTATATTGGTTTCTTCTTCATATGTGATAATGTTTAATTGGATCAGTATGTGTTTTTTATTTCAGGCTACTGGTAGCCACTTAACCACACCAGCAACCTATTTCTGTCTCTTTATCCTCTCAAAAAAATTCTCAGTGAATTCCATTTCTTTTTTGCTGTAGCTTCAAGTCAAAAGCCATGGATTGTGCCTACACGTAAAATATCTGAAGATTCCAAAATTCTGCTGCCTCAAACTGGTAATTGCATTCTTTTTTTAAAAAATAGATTGGAGCAACACTATGGAATAACTTCTCGTTTTTATTTTTATAGGTTGTTTAGTTGATTATCCATATACTTTGTAGTAAATGGTAAAGTTATAATCCATTCTTGATGCTTAGATGAATTTTATTTTTTTTCAATACAAAAGCAAAATGCTTTTACATTTGTTTTAAAGATCTGTGTTTTAATGTCTGGATATACAGTTAGAAGTCTGGCTAGAAGGTGAACTGTGAATTGGCTCATTGAATTTCTAGAGATCTCTTTAGTGACATGAGAGCAGTAACAAAAATAAGAATCCCATCGTGATCTGATTTAAGAGTATGAATTTAATATTTCCCTTGCAGTTAGATATTTGCCTCTTTTTCAGTAAAATATCTAATGAACATTTGAGAGTTTACTTTGTGCAAGATATTATTACTGAAATAATAAAATATGTAAACATAAAATATGTCCTAAAATATGTAAAAATATTGTGATATAGAGGAAAGACCACAGGTCTTGGCACTAATACTGGACCTTGGTTCCAGTTCTGGCTTTACTACCAACCACATATTTTAGCTATTTTTCTCTACTTTCCTGGATCCTGGTTTGCTCTTTTGTAAACTATAGCAATTGGTTTTTTCTCCCGAGAATTCTTGTGTTCCAACACTAAAATTGATTGAGTGAAATAGCTTCCTTTTTAAAAAATAGATTTTTCTCAATTAAAGAGTTTTTGCGTTTACGTCTTTTCTTTGATGTCTAGTGGTCAACTAAAGAAAATATTCAGCATGTGAGAATTATAAGAAAACCTCAAAAACCATTTTGTGTGATTACTTCTATGATTTTTGTTTTACTTATTTGTATTTTAATTTTGTGAACCTTCTAGTGGTGATTTTTTTGAGTATATATAATTAGTATATAATGTAGTTAGAAGTTCATGTAATGATGTTAAACACACCCCCATTTGGTGGTATCCTCCAGAAAGGAGTCCAGCACAGGATTGGTTTGAGAAAGGATGAGAATGAGCCTACAGACACATAGATCTTAGTCAAATGATCCTTTCTCTGGTGAGTGTAATTGATTCAGATCTTAGCAAAAGATACAAGGATGGCATCAAATGAAGTAAGCATGTCTGTTACGGTCCTCCCTAGTTTACTCACGTGGGAAAACACTTATAAGTTGGTTATAGTTGTCAGCCAATACAGAGAAGCCTTAAATTAGGTCTTTCTAAGCCTTGATTCCCCATGTCACTGACCCTGAAATTCTAGTGCCATTACTCAATGTGGGTGCAAGAACACCTTCAGAATTCAGGTCACCTGAGTCTAAAATCCAGGCTCTGGGTGGACTTTCATACTGAGCCTCTAGTTCTGTTAACACAGAGGCACAGCTGCACTGCACACTGTGGAACAATGCTAGTCTGTGGGCGTGTGTGATGGTTTATCTGCTGCACGGTGGCCCAGCTGGCCTAACCCCCACGTCCTTTACAAGTATCACATCTTCCAAACCAAAGACTGTTGGGGCCCACTGAGTTAGTAGAACACTTAGGTCCCTTTTATCTCTCAACTTCTGGGCTGTAAACACAGGGCATATAAGGTCTTCCTGGTTTCTCTTGAGCAACCTCTAGATTTTTGGTGTTTATGATTAGTTAAGAGCAAACTGACCAAAACCTCCAGGAAACCACTTATGAAATTTCAATGCCTAGGATATGAATTATATATAAGCCTGAATTGAAGCAAGCTTTGGGGGGGGGGGTAGGGAAAATATGTTTGCAGGTGAATGTTGTAGAGTTACAAAGAGACAAAGATAGATGAGATTGGAATTCCCAGTAAAAGAAAGGTTCCTTTTGCCTTAATTACAGAAAAGGAATATTCTGGTTTTGCCCGGTGGAGTATGAATAGTTGCTAATGCCGCAGGAAGCAGTTTCATTTTTCAGCTGCTTCCCTCCTGCTAGGGCCACCTTAGGCTGCCAGAGAACTTCCAAAAACTGTCGACTGCCAGCTGTCTCTAGATGAAGTGTGTGGGCCTGTCATGGGCTGTAACAGTTCGGTAGGTATGATTGCAGGCATACGCATAAGCCACAGAAACTTCCTAGCCAGCCCTTACAACACTGAATTGTTATGACTGGGCTACTTGGTATGATGTTTGGAGAGAGAGCATTGGCATCACCAGGGAGCTTGTTAGAAAGGCAGAATCTTGGGCTCTACTTCAAATCTGTTGAATCAGGATCTGCTTTTTAACAAGATCTCCAGGTGATTTGTGTGAGTATTAAAGTTTAAGAAGCGCTGCCTTAACACTGTAGTCTGTAATACTTCACATGGTACAGATAAGAAGCATCGAATGTGATCAGTTATAGGACAGGAGGCCTGAAATCAATGTAAAATTGGTTTCTTAAAGTGGGCGATTAAGTATTTCTTGTTTCTGCTAATATTTTTAACACTCCCATCTACCTCTTGTATAAATATTCTGTGGCATCTTCCTAACGTGTTAAATTTCAAATTAAAATTCATCAAATGTGTTACTTGTGATTTAAAGAGTTGGTATATTCACACAACGCTTTTATTCATTTCACCCTTTGGTTCTCAATTGACTTTGTGTGAACTTACACAGGCACTAAGTTTCTATTTCCTATTTAGTTTCAACATGTATGATTATTGTATTTTCCAGTTACTCACATGGCTTCCTAATGCAATAATTTGAGAATTAAGGAGAGAGAGAGGCAGAGATAGTACTTGAATGCCAGTCCATAAAATCAGTGGTCTCATTTTTAGTTGTTACATCTTTTGAAGAAATGATATATTTCAGCTGGTATTAATGACATTATTATAGCGAAATGAACATATTTTGTTTTCTCTCTTGGCATGCAATGCATCTGTATTTACTATGTCAATTACCTTCAGCCAAAGACCACCAGGAACACACCTGTATTTGAACAGAGTTAGGTTTATTTACTTTTTGTAACAATGGAGAATGCAGACCATGAGGAACTGTGGATCTGTTAGTAAGAGGATGTTATGGGATTTAGTCTTGTGTTAGGTGATCCTGGGGAGTGTTTAAGGAAGTGAAGCTTTGCTCTGAATTGGATGCTGTCTGAAAATAGGAATAATTTGTGACAGAATGTCTTAAGAATTCTTAACTAGAAGGCAAGAAAAGAAGAGTGAGACTAAAGCTGTGACTGGTAAAGATATTAGCCAGAATATGAGGACAGTAATTTTTGTGTTCATGCGTTTGTGTCCCACACAGTTACAGAATGGTCTTGTTTTTGTCTTGGTCCATCTTTGTCACCAAGTGAACTTGTCTGATGTTGATGTTCTTTTCAATTGTCGATGTTCCGTAGGTGAACACAACAGCCTAGCTGTGAGTGCCTGACCAGCACCTGGATGCCAGGGGCTGCTTGTTTCTTTATCAACCATTAAAGGTGGTTTATCAGTACCTTTTGTAAAACTCATTTTCCTTCAACGTTTACTGGATTTGTTTTCCACATTTACTTCATACTCTGTATCAAATAATCAGAATGCATGCTCTTAAAAAGATTTCTGTATTACTTTTGTCAATAAAAAGTTATGTGGAAATTCTAACTTGCATGTCGAATATTGAAATCATTTCAGTAGTTGATGGCAAGAGTGGGACAGGGTATTTGGAATTTGGAGTGTCCTAGGAAATCTGAGAAGTGCAGTCATCAAACATACTCTTCCCTACTTTTAGTCTATTGGCCCCAATCCTTCATTAGGGCTGCATTTTGTGATCTCATTATTTGGAATTGTACTTCGTTTAAACTTTCTCTAAAGTATGTTCAAGTGGGATTGACTGATTTTGCTTTCCTTAGCAAATCCACCTTTTCTTAAAGGACAGAAAGGAAATTATAAAAATATGCTCTTTAACTATGTGCCAGAATGTAAACTTATTTATAAATTCTAAATCAAAAGAAAGTTGGCCATATTTTAGAAATACTTAAATGCTTATAACAGTCATTCAGAAAAGTCCATCTTTCTGGTGATGCAATAGAATTAGTCTTATGTTCTACTGGAAGGTAGCCAGTAGAACATGGTTGGAGAAGGAGGATAGAAATCAATGTTCTGTTTCTGGCTTGCTAATGCTATCAGTGTTAAGCGTCCTTAATTTACTTGGTCATCCCCTTAAAAGACCACTATTTAGTACCAGGAGGGATTTGAACCTTAATCAAATAAAAAAAAAAATGATTTCTTCATATAACCCTAGATGATCCAGTGTGCTTATTTGCATCCTTAGAAAACTCTCCAGCCTGTTCTTCCCCTAGCATGCCCAGACAAACTGACTTTTCCCTCTAATTGTACAGTAACTTATTACTAAGATGACAGTTCCTTCTGGCATAATTATTTCCCCTTGAGCAATAAACAGTTATCTTTAGAGACTTCCCTTGACAGAACTGAGGATGGCCTGCCTCAGTCTTTTCATTAGAATCCACTTTGGGAGCTCCCTTTAGGAGTTCATTACTAATTATTTTCAGTGTTTCATTCTTTCAGTACTTTGTAGAACTTTAGTAAATTGCTATATGCACTTAAGCTCTATAAATTATTTAAAGTCTTGAAAGCTGAAGTGATCAGCATGCCTGAGGAGTGGTATACTGGTTGGAAAGTTTCGGCCACAAGTGGTTTGCTCACAGTGGTTGAAAAGAGGTTGAACTCTGCATTTGGACCTTATTGTCTTCCTATGAGGTGTTGATTAGCATAGATCTGGCCCACCAGACTGAATTAAGCCCTAGAGAGGAGAAAAAATAGGAATAAATGGTGGCGTGGATGCTTTGAGATCAGGAAAATAGAATTTAAGTATACAGATGGTTTACGGATTTACAGTGGCCTCTTAGAGATTTACAGCTGCAGCCTTCGGTTTTGCTTCATGAGCATTTTCTTGCAGGCAATATATTCACAAATTTCAAGGCCAACCGGAAAGGTATTTTATTTTTCCATGATATGAAGGAGCTTTATGTACTTATTTAAATGGTACTGAGAACTCTGTGTGTGGT